TTCAGGTCTGCCACAGCAGGAATGAGGTGAGTGAAATCAAAAGCCTTCTGCCCAGGGCCCGAGTTCCTCTAAAGCATATAAGCAGAGGCTGGTGGAACTCCAGGGTGGGATGCCCAACCAGCTTGGAGCAAAGAGCTCCTGAGAATACAGCCACATTTTTCCTCAACATCCTTGGGCTCTTGGACAAAACACCAACAGTCTCAGCCTGGGCAAGTGTGGCCTGCTTTTTACTGTAGTAGAATGACAAAAAGTGACAATGCTGTGACTTTTGTCTGTATATATTTTAAAGTAAGAAAAGATTTTTGCAGGTAAATAAATATTTGATTTAATCCTAGCTTACCAACTGAATAACTTAGGAAAGATTACTCAGCCTCTCTGAACCTTAGTTTGTTCAGTTGTAACATGGTAGTACCAGTACCCCGGTTTTGTAAATCTGAAAGAGACAATGATATGAACCACTTAGCATAGTGCCTCACCTATGGTAAGCACAAAACAAATGGTATCTCTATAAGATGAAAGTATGGTTGCATAAGCGAATATGGTTTGTTCTTTTTTATATCATAAACAAGATGCATAACCAAGTGTAATAGCTACTCTCCAATGACGGCTTCCACCAAGCTGCTCCTGCAATATTCACAACTCTTGTAAAATCCCTCGTTGAATATGGGTTTGGCCTTTATGACTTTAACCAGTGGAACGCAGTAGAAATGACACTGCCCTTTTTGTACCTAAGCTTTAAGGACCGACAGTTTCTACTTTGGGGGGCCCTGGCCACTGCATGAAAGCTGAGCTATACAGCTGAAGGAGTATATGGAAACTCTGTGCAGACAGGGTGAGAACCCAAGACTATATGGAGAGATGGGCCTATGTGCCTTAGGGTCCCAGCTGAGCTCAGTGTTCCAGTTGTGTCTGCCAAGGTGCCAGCCACGGGAGTGAGTTATCTTGGATATTGCAGATGACTTCAGTCCCAGCCATAATTTGATTTAAGCCACTACATTGTGAAGTGGCCTGTTTTGTTTCCCTGCAATAGATAATTAAAACACTGAGGTACCTAAGATTGAGTTATTAGGAGCCGGGCTTGCTCTTGGCTCCTTGTCTGAACTTGGGTGAAGACAAGGTGATACATGTGGGCACGTTCCAATGTTGGATCCACACCTGCCAACTACATTAGCAGGTCTAATTCACCAAAGCCTCCACCTGGTCTGCAAACTTGAACTCCATACAATTTGAGCCAGTTGCCTCTTCAAGGTCAATAGGTGGCTGCTCGGCAAAATGGGTTTCAACTGAAGTTTGCAGCTCCTGTTCTCGGCCTGAAAAGTAATCCTGTGATCCTATCCTGGGTTTAGCAGCCCTGGGACGTGAGAAGCAGGAGAGAGGTTAGGGGGATGTCACAGATTGCTCCTGTCTAGCGACTGGACAGTAAACCTGAGACTGAGGGACCTTGTTGAGATGAAAACCTAGTTGTAAACTAGGACCCTCTGGCTGATATTGGATTTCAGCCCTCAGACAGAAGGGTGAGTGTTACTGGTGTTCAGCCCTTTCTGAATGGCTTCAGAAGCCGGTGTTGCTGAAAAGATAGTCAGGGAGCTATTATATTCATTGGGCAGCAATTAGACTAAAAGTGCCAGAGAACCAGATGCCCAGAGTTTGCTCCTGTTGGGGCAGGTTTAATTTCATCAGGCGTCACAGGGACGCACAGAGAAAGGGAGGAAGGCGGGTGGTGCCTGCAGCAGGGGCTGGGAGAAAAGCTGGGGGGCTCCCATCTTGTCCTCTGAAAGCTCCCGCCTTCATAGCTGTCCCCTCCTACCCCAGCACTCAGCATCTAGTTGTCAGCCCATGAGACAAGCTGTGCATGTAGACAGTCTGATGGACAAGCTCTACAAATGGCTGGATCTCAGGTTCTAAATGGTCGAGCGCTGAAATGGAGAAAGTTGCTTTCAATACTTGTTCGTGGGACAGAGAAGCACTAAAACGTAGCTTGACGGTTTCATAAGTTTATTCTGACATCAGTCATTATTAATTAAGCCCTACTTCTGTCTGTGCTAGGCACATAAACTTGGGTGGATTATTTAACTTCTCTGGGTCTCTATTTTCTCATCTGTCCAATGGTCCTAATAATAGTACCAATTTCACAAATTTTTAGTAAGAGGATTAAATGAGATAACCTATGTCAGGTACTAGCATGGGGCATGCAAACAGTAAGCACTCAACAGATGGTAGTTGTTTATCCTCGTAGTACTTACTAAGTGTTCCATCTGCTCCCCCTCTATCATCTCCTAGGAAGAATCCTAGACATCCTCCCAAATCTAAGAAGCCATTCCTGATCCCCACTACCTTGGAAAGAATTAACTGTTTCCTCTTCAATGCCTTGGATTTATCTCTGTTACTGTGCTTCTCACTTTGTCTTATAATGGTTTTATGGTAGCACTTACCTTGTGTAATAGACTGTTCTAAACACTTCACATGTATTAAGTCATTTAATCCTTGCAACAATAATATGCAACGTAGGACCAATAGCATGCCTCCCCCTTCACAGGTGAAATAACTGTGTTCAGAAATTTGTCCAACATCGTACAGTGAAGGCTGGACCAGGGATCGCATCCGTGGTTCTGACTCCAGAGCCTGCATGGTGTGCACCCTTCAATTCTTTGCATTTTTCCCATCCGCCTCCCCTGTTAGGTGGAGGGCAGGGATGGTCTTCCTCATTTTTGTATTGTCAGTGCTTAATGCAGCACCTAAAGGGGGATTTGTTGAATTCAGAGTCAGACCTTGGTTCTTGAAAGTCTCCCATCTCAAACAGTTCATTTCTTGACCAAGTTATTCACAGAAAAAAATGTCTCAGTTGTCAAACAAAACTTTGGTTCTAGAGCCAACAACCCTTCCATGCTGATACCTGTATTTCTAATGGGGGAAAAAAACAATTCAGTTTTCAAACAAATCACTTCTTAAACAGCCTTGTGGAATTAATTAAATTAAAAAAGCAAGGTCCACTATAATGGCAATCAGCCTAAACTAAGGCCCATCTCCAGCCAGTGTCAAGAATTGTCTTCAGTCCAGCCTGGATCTTGGAATTCAGATGACATGTTAGTGTTGCTTTAACCCCAAGTTATCCCTGATAGGTTGTCCTAGCCCCAAATCTTAACAAGAGAGAATATATGTTCTCTCACTAATGCGTAAATTAAAATATAAAAACTGGATGAATCCATTCCTTCAGGAGCTCCAGGGGTAGCATTTCTGGAGGAGCTGATGCATATAAGTAGTGACGGATGAAACCAGGTCTTCTCCTTCCTCTTCCTCTTCCTCTTCCTCACTGAAGGAGCCCCTTTCTTTCCCAGAGCCCACCGCACACACAGGAAGAGACTTACTGTCTCAGCACTGGGATCCTGTGAGTATATGTTGAACAGAGAGACGATCTGGCTGTGGCCTCAACTCTGCCCCTTTCAATCTAGGTTACTTTGGGTGAGTTCACTGAAAAATGTGATGCGGTCCCTGCCCAAGGGGAATTTTAAGTCTAGTAAGGCTCTGAGTTTGTTTATGAGATGGGGTGATAATACCTATTTCCTAAGGCTATTGTGAAGATTGAGTGATGTAATATATCTGAGATATATTTGATTGTGGAGCTCTCTGTGTGCTTGTTATCACTGGTGCAAAGAGCATTAGACTAGGACAGCGATTTTCAACCTTTTTCATCTCACGGCACACAAACTAATTACTAAAATTCTGCAGTACACCAAAAAATATTATTTTTTACAAATCTGACAGAAGAGGTATAATTTTGATTCATTCACACTGGATGGCTATTGTCATGTTGGCTGTTATCACTTTTTAATTTGACAATCTAAAGGAAAAGAGGTCAGTACCCCTGATTAAACAGTCAGGTAATGCATGTTTTAAAAATTCTAGCAGCACATCAATTGCAAATTGCTGGACTAGGGGATAGCAGACCTAAATCTGACCCAGGGGTCATATACAACTTGCATAACCTCCCTGTGGCTTAGTTTTCTCATCTGCAAAATTGGGATGATTATCTCTGAATTTTTTCCTCATATGATGGCTCTAATGATTGACAAATTTGTGTGTGTGTGTGTAAAGGGCAGAGTGCAGCACACATAAAAAAGATAATCACTGAATGCCTCAGTCGGGCAGACTGTTAGAGTGCCTGGTTTCCATGTGGAGCAGGTGCATCACCACATTCCTAGCTGTCATCTCAATGGCCGGGGGGATCAAAATTAATAGGCTGATAAACACTGACTTCTGAGAGTAGCTGAAGCCATTTAAAAAAAACCAATGCTGAATAAATAAAACCCACCAAAACTTCTAACAAGGAAAGTCTCTTTTTCTCATCCAGGTGGGGATGGGGTAGAGGAAAGAATGATGCCTGAAGGCATCTTGGAGGTCATCGGCTTACAAAGGCACCAGTGGAGGCCTGGGGAATTGAGGAAACTTACCCAAGGTCACCCAGCAAGTTCGAGGAAGAGCTAAGAATTCATGTATCTTCTTAGAGCAAGCATATATATAGATATACAGATATACACACATATATGTATGTATATACATATATATTTTTAAAAATTTTATTTTAAGTGTTGTTCAAATACAGTTCTCTGTCTTTTACTCCCATCCCAGCCCACCCCCCACCCCAAGTCCTCCCCACCTCCCTCCCATTTCCACCCCCCCGTTTTTGTCCATGTGTCCTTTATACTTGTTCCTGTAAACCCTTCCCCTTTTCCCCTGAAATTCCCTAAGATTAAAGTGGGGTCCAGGGATGGGAAAGACAGAGGCTGCATCAGAACTATGAAATGCCCAGCGCATGCTCTGCAATGGGTGTGATGACAGGCATAACCCCAAACAAAGGAGGAAATGTGGACCTTTGTAGATAAACTTAGACCCAGCGGCAGAAATTTCAACACTGCCTCAGGCAGCTGAAGAAGAACTGATGACTATTATTACAGCCAATAATCATGAAACTACTATATACCAGGCACATACTTTTTTTTTACCAGTGTCGCGGCTCTTGAGGATAGAACCGCGGACTGGAAACCGTCGGCACCGAAGACCTGATGCCAAGTGGGGCCAGAACCCTTTCCCTCTGCCTCCGTACCTCATAGGGACTGGGACCACATGCCCTACCTCCGCCAAGAAGAGGAGGGTTACCAGGCACATTTTTAAGTGTTTTAACCCATTTAATATTAATAGTGACCCTCTGAAAATAAATACTATTATCATTCCCAGTTGTAAAGTGAGGCACACAGAAATTAAACAACTTGCCCAATTTCACACAGCAGTAAGTGATGGAAGATTTGAACCCTGGGCTTATCCTCCGCGTTAGCTGCTAGCTCTGCTGCTGTGCTTGAAGACAGAGAAGAACAGTACAAGGTCTGGCATCAGGCTGACTCATCAGATCTAATACCCTCCATAACCTCACCACAGAAGGGAAATTTATGTCTCCATTACGAGCTTCATGTAAAGAGATAAGAAATACAATATACTTTGCACCAGGCCTTATGGGTAGGAATTTAGCAATACCTAATGATTCCTAACCTGTTTTTTGTGTGTTTCTATGTCACTGAGAAAATGAGGATTTTGTAGAGAAAAATGGAGTGCCAATGTTATCCATGGGGCACTAGATTTAACTACACAGTAACTTGTTTCTCAAAGAGAAGAAAATGGCCTAAATATGCCCCATCCATTGCTCTCCTCATGAAAGTTTGGGATACATGTTGTTGAAACACTGAATTTTCTGTTTCAAATTTTCTTTTTGAAACCTGAGAACTTTGATTACAACCCAAAAGATAATTTGTATCTCAGTGACTCTCAATGGGGGCAGTTCTGCAACATGGGGGGCATTTGGGAAATTTATGGGAGTGTTTTGCTTGTCAAATTACTGGTGTAGCAGGGGCTCTACTGGCTTTTAGTGGACTGTGACCAGGGATTCCAGAAGTCATGGATATTATGTGGGTTGTCCCATGTGTGAAGAATTGTTCCCTTCCCTGAATGACTTTGGAATGTCCCACTAGGCTGAAATATAGGCAAATCCAACAAACAACCTATTTATAACTGTTAGAGTTTAAGCATTGAACTAAAATTTACATATTAACACAAAGTATGCACTGAATTTCCCAGCAAAGTATCTATCACGTAAAAATAGAAAACTATCCTTTACTCTGTATAATTCCCCCTTTGAAAATATCACATCATTGATGGCAACACCACTCAGGGTACTTGCATTAGCAATGTTCCACCTCCTTACCATTCTGCATTTGTACCTGTCATGTCCCTAGAGATTCTATGTATAAATGCACATGTCTGATTTCTTTAGTACATGTGGGCCATTAGTACATGTTCTAGTATAGTTGTAGTTAAACATTTACATATTGTCTTAGATGTTAATTTATATTAAAATGTTTTTATTTCCATTATGTTGTACTTAAAGCATTTCTTTTTCAAAATTTTAGGTATAAGTAGACTACATTATCTACAAATTTCATCTTAGAATGGAAAAGGGAATAGTACAAACTAGTGTTTATAGAAAGGAGTCATTCTGTTTGATAGAGTTGGAGCGCTCTGATGTGGTGAAGTTGGTTATGGAATCTTATTTCCTGCAATAAAACACTTCTATTTGGGCCTCAGCCTATTAAAAATCATAATCATTTGACTTGGCTGAAGTCTATCAGTAATTGCTAATAAAGGAGAACTTGCTGATGAGTTGAATAGTACAGCATTTCCTTCAGTGAGTTCTGTGAAACTCTAGTTCTAAGTGAATTGATATTTATATACAAGGAAAAAAAAGAAATGTCCATAGTAAATTACTTTGGAAAATGTCTGGGAGAATAACCTAACTGGCTTTTTTTTTTATTGTAGGAGAACCCTTTCCCTTTATTATAGTAACTGTGTCCAGCCCCCACCCAGTACTTTAAGAATCTGCATCTGCTCTTCTACCTGTGATTCCAATGGGGCTTCATTGTTAGGCATATGGCCCAGGTCTGGCTAGTTGTAGTCCCTATCCCCTTGGCAATGAGGTATATCTAGATATTAGTGTGTATCCAAAGTGGACCAATCAGAATCCAGGAAATACCTTGGGATCATTGTTCATACTCAAATTAGATGGAAGAGCATCCCTCCACCCAGGCCACACTAATGAATGCAAGGTTGGAGCTACTAATGGATAGATTTCCCACCATGTGGAAAATGCCTTCTGCAGAAAGTGAAAGTCTTGGCAGCACTGAACGGGGCCATTTCTCCTCTTATAAGCTTGTTACTTGAGCCTGTCAAGTCATTTCAGTAAATAGATAATGATACCCAACTCAAAGTCAGCCTGGATGAAGTCCTTGCTCCTGTACAACCACCCATGTGACCTTAACAAGTCCCTCTGAGACTCAAGTGATTCGTCCATAGAATGCCACAAGACAGCTGGTTGGAGACAACCAGCTTGCTGGTTGACAGCTGGTTGACAGCTTACCCCTCAGCTTGCTGATGACAGAACATGTGATAGTACACATGAAGACATATGAGCATGCTGAGATAATACATGTGAAGTGCCCAGGCACACCTGCCCCCAACGCATGCCATAAATCTATTTAGTCATTAAATCAAGTCTATTTATTTTTCAAAGTTGGATTTATCTAAGTCTAGCCAATCAATTGAAGTTTCTGAAGTTTGGACATCAGAATGAATTTCTTTTTTCCAAACTGAGGAAAGCCATGCTGCCAAGATACAAACAGGTAGATTAATTTTTTTTTTTACAAAGTGTGGTCTCAAAATCACTTGCACCTATCTATAATCCCATGGAGGAAAAAGTTGTGCTTATTTTAAAAATCTAAATTTCTGGGTTCTACTCCAGATCATTTTTGAATAAGAATAATGCCTTGGTGCCTAAAAATATGCATTGTAAGAAGCTGCCTGAATGACACCCACACCTACTGAAGTTTTATATCTACCATGTTAATGGAAAGAGCTCCAGCAATACATTGAGAAACCCAATGTTAATTATAAGCCACCAATTACTTAAAAGTGCATAGAAATTTTGATATCAAGCTAAAAATGTATTAATTCATAAAATTGTATGGTATATTGTTTTTTAAAAATTGCAGAACAATATGTGTAAGATGCTTCCATTTTTAATAGAGCTTCTTTTTGGAGCAGTTTAGGTACACAGAAAAATTGAGTGAAAGGTGCTTGCATTTTCAAAAAAACAATTACATTAACATAAATTCTGGTATAAGCATAGAAAAATACGGGGCTCTATACCTAACAATAGCAATTATTTTAGAAGGCTTACAAAGCACTTCCTACATGTTTATAGTGCTTGAGTATTTATGTGGAGACTATGTTACTTATGTCATCAAGAAAGCAACTATGAAATGTCTACCACCTATCTATCTGCCTTCCTATCACTCCATCCATCATCCATCCATCCACTCATCCATTGTCCGTCCACCCATCCATCCATCTCTGTGAAAGAACATCAGTTGGGTCTCAGATATTAACTCCCAGTTGGCCTTCCAACTCATTGGGTTATGGGAAAGCAGTGTGATGGTCAAAAACTCTGATCTCTGCATTCAGAAAGACTTGGGTTCCAAACCTGACTCCATCCCTCTCTGGTGCCTTGAGTCAGGTAATTCCCCTTATTCCACTGAGGCTTTGTTTTATCATGTGCAATTGAGAATAAAAATACCTATCTCAGTCCTTAGAAAAAAAACTATAACTCCTGTCTAATCAAGAGAAGAAAGATCAGATAAATTTCAATAGGTGGGCATCCAAAAAAAAATACCTGATCACAATTCCTCAAAACTGAAATCTGAATAAAATATGGACTTTAGTTAATAACAATATATCATTGTTGGTTCAAGTATTATAACAAAGGCACCCTACTAATGACAAATGTTAAAAAGAAGGGAAACTGCGTGTGGGGTATATGGGGACTCTCCGTAATTTTTCTAGAAAAATTTTTCTAGAAATCTAAACCTCTTCTTAAAAATTAAAAAATTTTAAAAAACAGCATTTCTGTGGTTTATCTGATGCAAATGTTACATGTTAGTACCTTGTAAAAACACTGGGGACTCAATAAACAGTACTGGTTACTACTATAACTTCCTGTCTGTTTTTCTTTGTCCCCGTCTCTAACTTTGGGGATTGGAGTCAGCGCTCTGTGAGATTCCTTCCAGCTGGAAGATTCTGGGCCTGTCTTTTTCCCTCTCCCTTGGCTTCTCTGGCTTAAATTCCTCAGCCATGATTTGCTAAGTGTGAGTCACGCTCACCATCCTTTCAGCTTCCGTGGGTTTGTCTCAGTGACGCCGTACCTTGCTATTTTCTTTCTTCATTATCCAGCTACTTGCCACACTTAGGATCGTTCAGCAGTTTCTTTTATAAAATGATTGAGAATCAGGATGACTAGCCACACACATCCCCACAAAGGCTTCAGAATGTTCCCCACAAGATCCAGATGACAGTGTCAAGCAGGGGTCCACAGCTGTCCCTACCATGCTATCGGATTCCATGCTGCTGTGCCTGTGATAAGAACGTCCATGGAGGGAGAGGAAGGGGCCACCAAAAAGTGCTCCAAGAGAAAAAGGAGTCCCCCTTCTCTACATAAACCCAGCATCTTCAGGCTGGTTTCCGGTCTGTGTCTTTTAGGGCTGTTTTCTGTCCCATTGGCTCTCATGGGACCTAACTGTCTGCAGGGGCCCATCAACTCTATCCTAAACAGAGAAATTAACTAAGTGTAAGCTGAAGTGTGTAGGCTTTTCTGTGGAGCTCCAGCATGACTTTTGAGTCTCCCGAATGGAATTTCACACACGTGTTGGGGGAGGTGATTTATTATGGGAGGTAATGGAAATTAATTTCACTTTGAACCCTGAGACACCAGAAAATGCCTAAGTGCTGAGCCATTTTCTGTAAACAGGCTATAAAGCTGCTACTGGCTTGTGACTGGGCGGCAAGGTGGCGATGACCGCTTGTAAAACAAGGAGCTAGGAGAGGAGGTTAATGGGCCCCGGCCATCAGGCCACCTCCAGTGCACACCCTACCAGGCCCTGCTGTCAAGGGACTCTTAGTCTTCTTGGCGCCGCAGATAAGGGGGATGCCAAAGAGTCCCTGTACACTGAAGAAGAGCCAAAAGAGAGGAGAGAAAACATTCTTCAGGGGCCAATG